GACTGGAGTAATGATGCTGAAAATACAGCTGCGCATCACAGAAATAAATTACATTTGAACAGATATTCAAATAGAACAGTTATTTTAAATTGTAAAAAAAAATATATATAGTTTTGGATCAAATAAATGCAGCCTCGGTGAGCCCTAATGATATACATCAGGAAATACTGACTTACTGCAAATATCTCCTCGTACATCAGCACCACCTTCTCCTTCAGAGGCTTCTTCGAAGAGGATGTTCTCCTCAGGAGCCCTGCTTTCTTCTCAGTCTGAGCCATGGCTTACTCAGACTAATCTCGCTCCTAGAAGTACATTCAGACACACAACCAGGTTTCGACAACACCGAGACTCGTGCAAGTGTTCTGACAGCTTAGCTTTAGCATGTAGCCTCCTAACATTATATACTGTAAACAAACACAGGCCGATTAGTATCACTTCCAAATCGAAAACGAATGATATTTGAATACAGTCTCCATTTGGGACAGTCATGCTAACTGATCAAACCCAAACTATTTTCTTGCATTTATAACAAAATAAATATATTCTGCATTCCAGCGGTTACTTTTAACAGTCAGGCGGGGATTTTAAGCAGGAACCTATCAGTTTGGATAAATAAATGCAATAATATCTTCATACCCGGGTAAATTAATCACAGTATTTGTTCCATTACTCTTGAAGCTAAACAGATGGATCTTCGCTCGGCTGACTTCCGGTGGGAGCGGAAACCCCGCCCATGTGCTTACATCACGTCCGCTGGCCAAGCTGAGTAGACGCACATTGCCAAAACCTTTTAATATAAAACATGCTCAAAATAATAAGACCTTCTCTACACATGCCGTACTGATATGATTTGAAGTTGTCAAATTATTTATTTTATTAGTAGTTTATAGCGCAAAATTAGGTGAATCGTTTGATAATTGTATTATTGTTCAAAATACAGGTCAGTAATGTTGATATATGTATCATATAATCACCTAATATATATATATATATATTAATGTATTGTATTGATAAATGCAAGTCAACAGTTCATAAAGACAACATCTGACACAAAAATCACTTCTTTATGTAAGTATTATTATAGCATAGATGTAGACGTAGATATAAATTTGAAATGTATTTTATTACTTATTTTTAGTCATTATAAACGTTATTATTTAAAATAGCTTTCTTAAATAGTTATACATTCAATTGTATATTTAAGAGATGTGTATGATACAGATAAATGACCATATACTATTTAATATGATAATAAAATCTCGATTATCATTAAGACATTCCTCTGCCCTTCATAGACATATGACTCTTTTTATATATTTTTGCTCAAATTAATTTGAGATTGTATTGAAAATATAAAAAGCTGCTTTATTGAAAAAAAAAAAAGAAATTAATGAAATCAGTTATTTTATTTTATATATTAAATTCTATATTTATTTTATTCGATTTTTTGACAGATATATATGTATCTTGATTATTGGTAAGACATTCCTCTTACCTTTATAGACAGACCCTTTTTTATATATTTGTATTAATTCTAGATTGTATTAAAAATATAATAAAACATTTTTTGTAAGAAAAACTGTTAAGAAAAAATGAATTCACAGTTTTAGATTACATATTTTTTAGTTAGTATATTTTTATGATACATATTAATGATCTTAGATCATAGTTTGTGATTATTGGTAATAAAAAGACTCTTCCCTTCATAATCAGACTTTTCGTTTTTTAATTCATTTTAGATTTTACAAAAAAATTTTAGAAAATTTTAGAAAAACTGTTAAGAAATAAAACGATTTTTATTATATATATATATATATATATTATTGTATATTTAATTTGTTTTATGATACATGATCATATTTTATGATAACTGATCATAATATATATAATAATATCATTATTATTACCTGGTAAGACATTGGTCAATTTTTTTTTATTATTATTAATTTGAGTTTTTACTGAAAATATTAAATGGGTGTCTTAGAAAACAAATTAAGAAACAAAATGAAATCAAGTTGTTTTGTTTTATGTATTAAACTCTATATTTAATTAATAATATTTTATTGCTTTTCCCCCATATACATACAATACATACATACAATTTAATTAATAATATAATAATTAATTAATAGATTCTTATGATAAATACAAATTATCATAGTATTTAAGATCAGAATTCTTAATATAAATCAAATCAAGTTATTTTATATATTAAATGACACATTTATAATAGATATAGAATAATGTTCATAGTATTTAAGATCATAAATTAATTCTTAATTATTGGCGAGACTTCCCTTCATAGACCTCAGGTCTCCATCAGTAAATGTGTTGTAGGTCTAAATGTCTAGCAGTAGGTGGAGCCACATTCACTGCCTTTATATTCCAGCAAGAGTGTTGCAGTGAGAAAAAACACCATTTGAAAAGAGAGAAAAACCTGCCTCTCATAAGAACATGATCGCAGGCTCCTCGTGTGTGAGAGACTCCAGTGCTCCTCAAGCTACAGTGGAATAAATCACACGGGGTAAGATCCTCCACTCACACACACACACACACACAGGACTTTGGGGAAGACAGGACAGTCCTGTTTGATAAGGTATATTGTTTATGCCGTTTTGGCATTGCATTATAAATTCTGTGCTCTGTTAATGATTTATGCATCATCTTGCTTGATAACTACAGTATAGTAACAGTTGTGCAACTCATGTAGAACAACTGTACTTTGTTTTACATATGCATGAAGAATGATTTATCTGGTTACATTGCATAAATATTTCATACTTTTGAATGACAATAGACTTCTGGCATGATTACATGAATAGGAGGTTTTGTTGAACAGAAAACAACCATTTCAACTGGAGTTTGCTGGAGGGCTTTGTCAGATAAATATGGTGTCTAAGTACTAGTTGGTACATGCCTTCAGTTGCACTACTTTTGAAATAGCCATAATAAGCTTGTACTGTAGATTTACGTGTTTTATTTGAACTGGTTCTTTCTGACACAGTCTGGGAGGTTCAGAACGAGCTTCCAGAGCAGAGATGTTCATCCTCAGGGGGGAAAACCCATTAAATTCAATATTACAAGACTGAATTCGTCATGAACATTTCCCACAGTGTTGAAATGAGATCTGCTCTTGGTCTCAAATATGCTGGATATGGTCATTTGCACAAGGACAATGTGATACTTTTAAAAATGTGCCATGGCTTAATTGCTATGATGGACTGGGTGAGTGGGCACAGTTTGGACACTGTTGTTTTGTGCTGCAGTGTGTTGGACTCTGCCAAGTGTCTGCAGAACCGAGCCAGGGTCAACAGCGGTTTCATTCAAACCAAACAATGTGATCTTTGCAAAGCAGATGAAATGTAATTGGGGTTTAGGTGGAAATGGTGCAGATGCACGTGGGCTCAGTGATGACTTGTGAAAGCGCGAGCGTCTGTTTTCTCTGGGCTGCAGGTCACTATGTTGGGGATCAGCTTGTGTTTGAGTGTCGCCGTCCACTTCGCCGTGTCTCAGGAAACCGAAGTTCAGGAGCCTGTCACATATACGGCAAGTACAGCACAACACGCCACAGCCGCTTAAGGGTGCTGCTTTGTGTTGTGTTTGCTTTATGCATGATTTTATTGGTTTTCTATAATCTAATCTTTAAATAGACAGACAGACAGATAGACACACAGATATTGGACAGATGAATAGATAGATAGATAGATAGAGGGATGGATAGATGGATGGATGGATGGATGGATAGATAGATAGATAGATAGATAGATAGATAGATAGATA